TTCTACTCCGTTTCCTGTTGTCTTTCTATATTATTCATAAATGAACACATGTGGACCCCTCTTCATGTTTTATATCATTGCATATATGTTTTTTCATGTTCAGAGTTTTCCCTTTACTGTATTTTGGCACAGGTGGTTTTATTTAGAGTTCATTTTATTGTTTTTAACAATTGATGAAAATTGTTGTTGTGATTGATTGTCATTTAAAAGAATGTTTGTATTCATTCATGCATTGACTTATTGATTTATTAACTTTCCACTTAATAAACAGAACACTTCCAGATTGACAAGGTCAAATAGAGAGCAAAGTAATAAAAACATTGTAAACGGAGAAAACATATCAATTGAAGAATCCTAAAGAGGAAGTGTACTGCAGCTGTCATAGACAGTCATGTATTTTTTGTGTATGAACATTGTATTGGAGCCATTACATTTTTTGTGTATAGACATGAAGGTGTTGTTGATAGTTTTTCAAAGAAGATTTGTAAATGTCAAAATACCAGGCCATGCACTAGAAAGTTACAGAAATTTATTGAAAATGGGAAGTACAGTAGCAGGCCCTTTTGTAGTTGATATGCTGTTAGGCCAAAATTTAGGTGGGGAGGGGCGGGGTTTTTTTTTTTTTTTTTTTATAAATCTACTTTATCAGTATAATCTACAATTCTGGATTAGATGCTACTTTAGCAGTTCCATGCTATAGACACAACTGGGATTGCATAGGTTACAAACTCACACATTCCCACAGAGCCTGATCCTATAATCTTTCAACATCAATAAAAAAAAAGAAATTGTTCCAAAAATTTAATATTTTAAATTTCATTCAGGAAACAAAAATGGTGTTAAAATTAATCATTTTCCATAGGCCTACAATATGTATATTATACCTGGTTGGTGAAATCCTAGTTTTAATTCACTTAAAATAAGCTTTGATTTTGATTATCATTTTCTGGACAACATTCTTTTATTTTTCTTTTTTTTTTTTTATTAAAAAAAGAATTCCCGCCTCTAATTTTTTTTATATTTTGGCTTTAAAATTCAGGTAGGGTGACGCTAAACAAGTATAATTATTTTGGCCTTATCAACAAATCTGATCTACTCAGGCCATCGAAGAAGAGAAATAAATTGGCTTCATGCACAAGCATTTTTCCTCTAATTGCAAGCTCTTATTTTTTGTATTATCATGGATAATATTAGATAAACATAAATTTATCAAATTGTGGACAAGAAAAATGAATGTTCTTCATCATGGAGATGGATTGCAGAAAAAAAGTAGGTCATGTTATTGTAGTTGATAAATGTACCATAAGTCCACCTTATGCTTGTTTATTTCAGAGAGGATTAAGTTATCAATTTCTAATGATTGTGAGATCAAAAGAATGACCTTTTAGATAATAATCTTTATGTAATTCTTGAATTGATAAAGAGTCAAATTTAAAGGTTAATTTTAAAAAACAGATGAACAAATATTTTTTTTGAATCCTATAATTATTAAAAATAAATTTTTTTTTCATTATATTTTTCAATTGGATTTTAATGCGGTAAATGAATGCTCAAAATACAAAATCTTGTATGATCAGTTGCTTGATGATTAATAATCCTTGTATAATAATATGCAAGATTCATCCCATCCATTATTTTCAGACATTATCATAAATAGATCGGGAAGGGTTAGACATAAACAAAACAAAATATCCACAAACCGTTTTAAAAATTCAGCATTGTACATCGCTTGTAATCTATTTAATCAAAATTTCAGAATATAACTGCACAGGACTCAAATTTTTATTTTCTAAGAAATCTTTATTTAACACTCTATATGTTTATGAACGATTCTATGTCATGTACAACAAATATCTCAGAATGTATTATTTTGACAATAAAGTTGACTTTTATCTTGTATAAAAAAATTAATATATTTAAATAGCTTGCCATCTGGAAAAGTCTCAGTGATTTTATAAACCATTTAGTTGTCCTAAAGAAATTCTATATCATACTTTGGGGTATAATTATCAGTGTAGCGTGGTACGGGCAGATTCTATGAACTTCTGTAATGTGTATAGGCATTATTTCAGAAGCTAAGAAATGACCTAGAGAAAATTTTCAACAAGAATTCATCACTGGAGATATGTTACGGATTATTAGACATCTAGGAGGCACTGAAATATGTGTCTTAGGATAATTATTCTCTACTACTGCGTATCTCCATTTAGATATAACTGTAATGTACAGTGCCTCCTTGTTAGAACTAATCATATGTTGAGATGATAACTAATTTCATAATATGCCATCATATAATGTAATTATTATTCCTAATTTCCATGTTGTTCCCAATTCATGAAGAAATTTGAGTTCCAGCTGATTACAGAATAAGACATAATACTCTTTATTAACAATATTATTTTGAGTTTGACTGTTAGTACAAGATGTTATTTTGCCACGTTGCAAGTAGTTGAGTTATTAAAGTTCCTTCATTGACCTTGTCTGACCTCACAACTTCCTGTGGAGTTACTGAAATAGTTTTGACAGCATCAGCGTTCTCTACACATAATTACTGTACAGTATTAAGATACAACAATTGAAATAACAATTCCTTTTGATTAAATTCTCTCCTTCGCTCTGGTTTTTATATGGTGTACAAGGAAATTAATGATCTATTTTTATGAAGTTAATTGTTAGAAAGATAATTTCTTATCTATTCCAATTCTATTATTTCAATAAATGTAGGATATTATTTTATTTGACGCACTCACCTCTTACTTGCAGGAGTGCGTCGTGCCGGAAATGCCTGGGACTCGTGGGGGACTTGGGATCCCCTGTTGTAAAACAAATGCAGCAGTTCATCTTTCGGCAGATGTATTTTTTAAAAATATTGATAGCGCAGTCCTTTAATTTTTCTGTAATGCTTCAAGGTGTTTTTTTTTTTTTTTTTCTCCAGATGATGATGATGGACCAACACACTCAAGTATAGGTCTTTGGGTTATTTTTGGTTTACTCACTTTCATGATATTGGAAAAAATACTTAGTGATGAGTTGGTCAACAAAGAGGTAGGCAAATCAGCTTACTTGTACTGGTTTATGAATCGTTGACACTTAAAAAAAAATAATAATGTTAAAAATTGAAATTTTAAATATGAACTACAGTACTCATGAACAAGTTTTTATAGATAAAGCAGTAGTCAAAGCAGTGGATTTTGATATTTTCAGTTTAAGTATTGGCTATTTTTTACCTCCTTTAGGTTTAATCAATAATTGTGTTTATCTTCCAGAAGCATGAGAAATTAGATTATTCTACAGAGAATTCTAAAGGCCAGGATATACCCACTACAAATGGTGGACAAGTTGCTATGATCTACAATGGATCAACAAAAAGGAAAACAAAAAATACATCAAATGGAAAGAAGACAAATAAAAATAACAATGGATCTTTAAATAACAAAAATAAAAAAAATATTATTCAAAATCCACCAGCTAAAATACAGGTAAAATAGAGTGTTCAATATGATAATTTTGTCGTAATTGTAAAGTATTTGATTTATTTGTTTGTTTATTATTGTAATTTGTTGTTTTTAAGTTGTTTTTAATAACTAAAAAAACTAATACTGCATACAGTACTTAGTAACAAAGATCAAGATAAGCTAACAAAAAATAGGTCAATTGCAAAGGAAAACATGTAGGTTAAACAAATTTATCACTTATACAATTCAAGTAGAGAATTGACAAGATGAGCACATGGACTAATGTAATTTTTACGGGATCTTCCAAAGACTCTTATATACTGTATACTGAATAATTAGTGTGATCACATCCATGCAAAAAATGGTGTTTTTTTTTATTTTGTGAATTTACAAATGTGGTATTGTTAATGTGTTTTTGCCATGCTCTGATGACAAAGTAATGTGTCTTTAATTTTGCTATGGCCATTAATAGTGAAGTTAATTATAATAGAGTAAATCTAACAGATTAGATCGGTAATATTTACATCTGCTTTAAGTCGGTGTTTTTTGAAGTTATCGTAACATGTTCATGAAGAGTTGATTAGCCATATATTGCATGATCTTGCCAAAATAGACAACCTTGTCTCTCAAATTTATTGAAAATTATATTGAATGCTGTTTTAATTACTATGCACCTGTAATTCATTTTATGTAGTTTTATTGGCTTTAATTTACATAATTTTTATTACTTATTTTGCTACAGCCATTATTTGAAATAGAGTTAATAATAGAATCTATTATTTATTACATTTGGCCTCAACATTTAAAAATAGAAATACACTACTTTGCTGGTGGCTAGATTATTTTTACATATAGTAAATAATTAACTTTATTTCTTTTATTTTGTAGGTTACAGGATATTTGAATCTATTTGCAAATTTTATTGATAACTTTACACATGGGCTTGCTGTGGCTGGTAGCTTTCTTGTCAGTAAAAAGGTAAAGTGATAATTGTTTCTGCAAATTTACTTTCATAATTCATAACTGAAACCATACTTATTGGTGGGCACTAGTAGGTCATCCATACTGGGCTGGAATGTGTGGAATTGTATGCTTGGGTTATGTATATGCCTTTGGGTCGTGTGGAATCTTAAAAGTACACATAAGTAAAGTACTATATTATATGTGTGTATGTTATTGCAGATACATTCTTTGTTGTCATTGTATAGTGCTGAAATGTTTTGAAGTTTATGGTATTCATTTAGACTCATTAAAACAGTGTGACAGCAAGGATATATTAAATAGTATTTTATGTTTTAAAATTAATATTTTTACATAGAATTTGTCATACTATGGATACAAATCTACCTACTTGAATACAAATTTGGGTCATGTTTAAAAGGGAGCTTACTCGTCAACAAAAAATAATTTTTATAATGTAGTATTTACCACAGTATTAGTCATTCTGAACGCAACACTGCTGTTTGGTGGGTGTTTGAAAGGCAACTTTTGCTAGGCATCTTGATTTCCAATCAAGATTTTTCTTGCAACTAAATGTTATTAATAATAAATTTTAAGATTTTTTGTATTTTTTTTTTTTTTTTTGGTAAAGCAGCTACACTCATGAATACAAGTTTGTGGGACATGTGGGTATTGTCTGGCCCTGCATATTGAAAAATATTTTTTAATTGGTCATTTTGGGTTTAATTGACTGTCTAAAGTTTTATTATGTTTGTTTCTGTTTGTTTTAAATAGGTTGGAGTTGTGACGACATTTGCTATAATGTTGCATGAAATACCACATGAGGTAAGATCAATGGTTGCGCCAGCAGGGGGCAGTGGGGAATTTTCCACTATTGGACAGGCCTGGCTCCTCCATCGTCTGATGCCACAGCGAGGTTGTTTGATCAAAAACAATAATTTGTCTATTTTCTTCCTCCATGGCCTATCCAAATAACATTTGATTGCCAATCCCTAATATTGTTATCTATTGCCAATCCCTAATATTGTTATCTAAAGGCACAATTTGGGCCATACTAAGCCATAAAAACTCCCTCCGTGGGGCTTACCAGGAATTTTTATTCCGAGGCTGTAGTTGACCCCTTGGTTCGGACACTCGTGTCGGGTATGTCAGACCCCTGTGGGCAAATTTCCAAAAGCCATCCCTGGGTAAGGTGTGTTCTTTTTTTGTTTGATCTCAATCAATCAGTCATTCATTCAATCAATCAAAGATTGAACAATAGCAGCAAACCTATGAGATAGTTGTTTACAGTTGTTTTTTGGTTACTTTTTAGATTGGAGACTTTGCTATTTTATTACGAGCTGGTTTTGACAGGAAGAGTGCTGCTTGGAACCAAGTCATGACTGCAACAGGGGGAATGCTGGGAGCTTTATTTGCTCTTGCGTCAGACTCAGCTGAGAGTGTAGGTGAGTATGCTGATCGCACATCTAGAGGGTGTAGGTTCGAATGATTGAACATTTGATTATTAGAGGGTGTAGCTTCAAATGATAAAACATCTTGATGATGTCACAAACAGAGATACGTCAACACTACAATTTGAAATACAAATATATATTAAATTGATGCCATTATATGGTTTTGTTTTTTGTTTTTTTTTGTATTTGTTTAGGTAGCAGTTCAGCATGGGTTCTACCATTCACATCAGGGGGATTTTTATTTATATCACTTGTCACAATTGTACCAGAACTTCTAGAGGAAAAAGATCCAATGTAAGTATATAAACCTCTTTAGCACATACTGTAACAGAGTTGCTATTTCTAAAAGCTCTGCAATTCTGTTCCTGCCTTTTATTACAGTATTTGCAGTATTTGTGATAGAGAATGTTGAAATTTATTTTGCCTCCATCTAGAAAATTATATTCATAAAATGTCTCCATGTCATCTGTTTACTATTTAACCCCATCAGTGGTTGTCTGGAGTAGTTAACTTTTTCCAGCCTTGCATATGCCTATATGCTTTATTGATTATTAATAACCTCTGTTGTTACACACTGTGGTGTATTGATTTTCATTGAAATCCATTAAATAAGCCAACAGTACAGGTACACATTTCAAAAATATCAAAAGCGCTGTCCAGTCTATCAAATTTTATTTGACAAAATCATGTGACACGCCTAAATATGGTGATGATTACATCACATCATGACCAAATATGGGCAGATCATGACTATTTATATTGGTAAACAACAGATTTTTGTCAAAGAAAATTTTATAATCTGCTTGTTTTTCTTTTCTTGTTGTAAAGTGCATTGAAGCTGTTTACAGAATGCACTATAGGAGAACTGAATTATTATTATTATTATTATTATTATTATTATTATTATTATTATTATTATTATTGTTGTTATAGTAATCTGGACAGAGCTTGATATATTCAATAAAACATTGAAATCCTTATAAATATAAAAGCAATGAACTCCCATTAAAAATATTTTGGTAATTTGAGACATATAACATCGATTGAGCTGGGTAACATCAAAGGTGTAGGCTTAAGATGGCATGTATGCCCAATAAAATAATTCAATTTACTGGTAACTGAATGAAGAAATAACAAAGCATATGGGAACTCACAAATATGGCTAGTGAAAAATAAACTTTATTTAGTGATATACATTTATAATAACAATTGGCAGTTCTGGTTGAATTAAGACAATACAGGTAATTGGCACAGTGCCAAGTTCTATGTCAATCAATTTTAAAAACATGGAAATGAACCTGCTGTGGAGGAAGTAAAACAGATAACATTGTAATATTGTAATATTTTGATAACATTTATCATGGAGGAATTAGGTCAAAAGCTAACAATTCATCTTAACGGAAAAGGAATACAACAATAAACAGCAATCTGACCATTGAATTCAGCTTCACCTCAGTGACCTGACACAGGCATCGTACAAGCAATTGTTTTTGTGTCTATGCCCCTTCAGGAACAAAGACACTATGTTATGATCTGGCAACTGAAGATGGCAGAAAGGGTAACTCTGGTGGTAGTGCATGAGGGGTCGTGTGTCATCTTAAGTAACTTATTACTGTATAAAAGTCATAAAAAATAATATAACAGCACACATTTTCTGATAACGTAATCCCATGTGGATACTTTATTAGTAAACATAATACAGCAAGGCAGTAGAGGGCATAGACACACTACCGCTGGGAGCCTATTTTTATACCTGATTCACACGACAGAAAATGTTAGTACTTACACAGACCTATAAGATCTGTGGTATTAAGTAACGTATATACTCACATATAAGATAAGGCTTAAAATAGCAAATTATGATTGAAAATTGGGGTCGTCTTATATGCAAGGCATTCAAATTTTTGATTTTTTAAATCATTTTTTTGATTTTTTAAATCATGTTCATAGTATTTGTGGATCGTCTGTAACACGCAAATTTACCACTGCAATGAAACCACTAAATGTTAGTATGAATGAATGCAATTTTAAATACGGGGAAATAAGATTTTTAGGGGACAATTAAAAAATCGGAAAATGGTATTATTTGGAAGATTAGCCTTGCATTGGACTCTGTTTTAGTTTTAGCCAGTTAGATGCAGTATCAATACCATAATAAGCAGGAAAGTAGGAATTTCGACGATGAAACAAAAAACATGATGAATACAAAAATTGTCCAAAAACCTTCTCAAACTCGGGGTCATCTTTTACGTGGGTTGCCTTATAAGAGAGTGTACAGTACATTTCTGCCGTGTGACCCGTAGCTGGTTGTATAATTAGCATAGGAGCATAGCTATGTTGTCTAATCAGATTTATGGCTTAATTTAAGGCCAATTTTAATTTGCTATTTTTTCAACTAAGACTATTGATCAGGATCTCTTATGAATGGTTATGAACATTTTATTTCTAAAAGAACTATTTTGTTTGCACCACAGGCCATTAATTTTAGCCAGGGTCAACTCATTTCAACCAGGGTCATTTTATTTAATGCTGACCTTTGTTGTATATACTGTGTAGCAATAGCACAATAGAATACTTTATTTGTTTATTATCAATTTTACACCTGCCAACTCTCACGCATAATGTCAGTGCATGAGTCTCACACATGAGCATCCACTTTTTATGTACCATGCCTACGTTGTATTATCTCATGCATCATAAAAATTGTTAAAAAAGATAAAATGTATAGGCTGATTATACCTTAAAATTCATAAAAATGAAGTTAATTTGTCATTAAAATTTGAATACAAGCCAAATAAATTTCTTTTAATGAAGCTATACTGACCGAGGACTGTAATTCATAGCGGTTCCACTACAATTTAAAGCGAAAATAACATAGAGGGTGCTCTATTTTGTGATTATTACATAGAGGGTGCTATATACAAATTTTATTTTATTTATTTTTTCGTCTCATGGATCAGGGACAAACAAAGTTGGTAGTTATACAATTTAAGTAACTCTCATATTGTTTACAGTACAATTTGTCATTAAAAAAAAAAACAGGAAAATGATTTTGAATAGAAAACAAATACTGATAAATGTCTACCTTTTATTCAATCTATACCATTGACCTTTACATTTACATTCATAATATATTTATTCATTATTAGGAGATACAGCAGATAATTTCATGTAAATCTTTGTTCTCTGTCACTAGGGATGCCATAAAAAATGTCACTCAGCTTACAATCTTAATATGCTCACTCATGCTTTTAAAGGTTAGCTGTCAATTGTAAAAGATAAAAGAAAAAACCTTTAAACAGTGGCAAAATATTTTGAGAAAAATTATTTAGACATTTTAAATACATCAATTGGGAATACAACTGTTAAAAAGCGATAAATTTAAAAGAAATTGGGAAATTACATTAAAAAATTAAGACATTTGAAATACTTAAATACAGTAACAATAATAATTGGAAATAGAAAACGTTAAAAAGCGATAATTGAAAATATATATATTGGTCGATTTGGTACCCATACTCCTGACAAAAAATGTCTATCAGGGCCCCTGTCTTCGGCCAGGGAGACCACATAGCTGTTATGTCACTTTTGCAGTTTTTTAGCGCATCACACCAGACAGTATAATTCTGACATCTTTTGCATGTTAATGATACAAGAATATATAATAGACATGACATAGTTTGACTCAAATACAGTAATTACATAAGAAGTATTTTGGTTTGCCCTTACTGTTCCTAATATAATTATTATATTTGCTTATAAGCTACATTAATATAGTGAAAATTACAAATTTTTGGTGTTCTTTACAAGACAAATTGGTGTATAATTAATTAGAAGTAGGCCTATGATTATTAATGTTTAAATTATTATTTTTCAGTGAATCTGTGAAACAGGTTATCTTCATGTGTTTTGGTATTGCTGTAATGTTCCTTGTTAGCTACTTGCATTTGGATTGAAACAGTAAGACGGTTTATACGGTTGAACACAATGCTGGCGTTCTCCTGAGACTACAGATTCGTCCGTGATTATAGTGTGTAAATAGTTGATTCCATCTACGAATACACACACACACACGCTATGCTTTCTGTTTTTAAACACTTTAAAATCTAATGTATACAATTTGATTGAAGTGCAAACTTGCAATTAAATTGTGTCACACTGATAAGCATACATGGAGACTATAGGTTAGAAAAAAACTGGAAGTATAATGTGAACCCAGAGTGCCACCAGTAAGGGGTGGGGGTGGTGGAGAGGTAGCGTAGGCTTCCCTCCAGGGAGATTAAACAATTATATATATTTTTCACTCTACTAATGAGACTATAATTGATTAAATAACATTTGAAACCCGCTAATTGTCATATTTGTGGCTCCCTGGACCACTTTCAAGAAATTTTAGCAACACCTCTAGCCAGGGACCCCAGACCCTCATCGGGCAAATCCTGGTGCCACTCTTGGTGTGAACACATGTTAAAATAGATATCAATGTGGACACAAGTTAAATATATGTAACAGTGTGAATGCCTATTGACATCAGATTGAACACAGGTGAAGGTGCTATTTATGTCAATTAATTTCTTGTTATGCTCTATGACTATGGAGGCTGAATGTATTATTGTGCTGAGAGATGCACAGAGGTGCTATGTGGTTCAACCTCAGTAGCAGGGGGTATATGGGATTAAAGGTTAGCATGGAATTTCTTTGGGGCTCAAGCATACGGTTTGTACACACTATCAGGTTTTCTGGGAGAGTGATGATAGTATTGACAGATGTAAGTGTGTGGGGTACTATTTGGTTCCAGCCTGAAAGCAGGGGATTACTTACAGTGGACTGAAAGAAGAGCCACACTGAAAAACACAGCATTATACAGAGGTGTGTAATTGGGTTAAATCCCAGTAGGATAGGATTGCATAGAAATGACAATGGATTAATTCTACAGTAGAAAAACTTTTAAAAAAAAACAAAACCTTAAATAAATTGATTAAACTTAATAGATGAATATAATAAATAGAAGTAGTATTTTAAGATATACTCTAAAATGCAAAGATGCAAAGATTAAATTTCACTCTATAAGAGTGCCTTCAGGACCTATGTCAATTTCACTTATTCCTGAGTAAAAATTCATTCCCTCTGTTTTTGTGCTTTTGCAATGTAATAAGGGTAGTATTTTTAATTTATTGGGAGATTAACAAAAGTATATGCATTTTTGTCACCAATCATTTTATACCAAAATATGCATATTACTGTATTGGCTTTTAATCATTCTTTGTAAAAAATTACAATATATTCATTGCCATATTATATTGCAAGACTGTAATAATATTATATTTTTTTAATTACCATATATAAATATGGTGTAAATATGTAGAATAAGGCCTAAACATTTTGATAATTGTTTTTTTAATTATTTTTATATGTCTGTGTTTGTTTGCTTTATTGTTTTTTGCATATTTTGAAGTTTTGATCTGAATTTATTTCATCGATCTAAATATTATCACTTTTTAAATAGTTAATATTGTAGATAAGTAAATGAAGATGAGTTAAAACAATATATGTAGTGCCTATATATGTATTCCTGAAAAGGTTTTTATTAAATTTTGCAATAAATGTATGAAATTAAAATATCTAGTCTGAATTTGTTTGTACATTTTATGCAAATTTCCCGCACTTTTATATCAAATACTTTGGTAAGTTGATGCATTAGTTGTCGTTCGGTGTTTTACGTTATCCTTTTTCATGTCTATCATATTTGTTCCACAATCCAGGATTGCACCTGTTCTTTTCATTTACATTTTAAATACTGTAGGCCTATATATAACTAGAGCAGTCACTCCACAGAGTCTACACCTCCACCACATACATGTCAAACTCGACTAATTTGCAGGCGTGAGACTTGTTCTAAAACCTTTCTAAAAGGGGGGTGTTCGGGTATTCCCCTCCCCCTTGAATGTTTTGTTCCCTAGATACCTGGAAATGCTTTCTTTGCTACTTTATGGTTGAATTTACAACTGAACATCTGTTAGGAATCGCACATTTTTTCTTGGGAATGCATACTGTATTTCTGCCTTCCACGATCGAAAATAGAAAGCCAAACCAAATAACCCTGGTGTAATGCACCATTTATTTGCGTTCGAATGTACAGTATAACAACAAAACCAATCCTAATTTAAGTACATTAGATTATGAATATTTAGCGGGAGAGCTAGAAATTGTACATATATTTTTTATTACAGGCATTATTACATTTATGCGCGAGATTTTGGTCCTTAAGCGCAAGAGCACGAGACAGACCTCGAATACGCGAGTCTTGACATGTATGACGCTACCCTGTGCCAGAAGACAGTACCGACAATATGCCGGCCGTGTATAATGGGCAAAAATGCCCTCAATGAAAAAGTGAAATTGCCAGTTGTATTCAGGCACATTATTTTCTTTTGTGCTGCAGAATACCCTCATTAAAATAATTGAATCGTCCATCGTATTCAGGCACATTCTTTGAAGGCTGCCTAAATACAGAGGGGCGATTCCATTATTTCCTGTTATGCTCAAGGGTAAAATTGAATGGTAGTGTATCTTTCTTTGATTATTATGTACCGTACCTTTCCACTAGATTTTATAAAGCTCCATTCATTAGATTTTGCAAAATCTTGCAGTGTATACAATACCGCCTTGCCTGAGGTAATAAATTTTAATTATTATAATTATGCAAAACTAAAAACATTTTGTATAACAAGTGTCAATTTTGCCATCTTCATAAATCCCTCACCCACAAAATCCACCAGGGATTTTACTCGTGTGACTTGTTGGACCCCTTGTTGGCAAAGTACTAGAGCCACCACTGGCTGCAACAACATGCATGGGAATTATGTATCCAAACATTACTGTACAGTATTATAATGTTAGTGAATCTCTGAAGGGTGCAATGTTAAAATGCTCTTTAATTTTTATTAATCTTTTCTTGTCAAATGAATGCGTTTCTTTAAAAAAAAAATAACAAAACAAAAACAAAAAATGTATAACAATATTCAGAGATTTAGCAAGTTTTATTTTATATATTTTGATTTACATAACATTTTTAATCAAATTTGTATTTTACAATAAGTAACTTCATTTTGTTCTTTAAATCTGACAAAAGTTTTGGTAGAATATAAGGAAATTTTAAAACACTTATATAGGACAATATAATCTGGTGAATACTTGTAAAGCATTTACAGAATTTATAGTGCATTTTTACAGCAGCAGCCTTTGTTGATGTCTAGAATTTATAGTTTGTCGCCCTCCTACTTTTGTCCCACCATTCCAAACAAATAATTTATCACACTATCAGTAAAATCAAAGCCAAGAAATAGTAATTTACAGATGGCGGTCACACTAGCTAACTTGGTGAGTCAATAAAAAGAACCTTGGCCAGAAGGTACTTAACCAACTTCCTGCCTTCACAGACAAAATTATAAAAAGCATCTTAGTTACATATCTTCTAAAATAAATTGATTTAAACTTTTATATACTGTATTTTAAAACAAAATAACATATTTAGTGTTCTATAAATTTAAATAAATAATCTGACTTGAATTACAATGTAATTATTAGATTTGCAACTACCTAAAATGTTATCTCAGTATAAGGTCAAAATTTCTACATAAATTTGATTATTATAATGGTTTGGACAAAAATAATATAATTTTAATATAAAAACACTGAGATAACAAAAATACTTGCCACAAAAGACCCAGGCCTTCCCAACAATATAATTTAGACACATATGATATTATTTGTTTTTGAAGTAGAAGACCAGAATTACGTTGTTAGAAGGCTATTCCACTGGGGTTTGGCAAATGGCAAAAATGATGAATGCTCTACATAAATCAAAAAATAATGTGCGGGGAATCGATCTATGGCCTTGTACTAAAATTTCATCTAGAAACAGCATTGAGTGAATTGCCACTCATTCATTAGAATTAATCTACTGTATAAGGCTTAAAAGTGGAGATGTTTTTAGTCATGAGAAGAAAAATCATAAAAATTACAAGGGCAAGACACCGGGACTAAAAAGCCAACATCTTAACCAGTTCCTCTTCATCAAAAGTGTTTTAAAAAATTCATATTACAAATTACTGTACCTCAGAAAGCAACTGCACAATGCAGAATTTCAATATTGCTATCTCCACCATTCTACATTACAACCCGAGTGCCTTGGATAAGATTAACAACTGGCCAATTCATTGTGAAACAGTAATATAGGTGTGCAAGGTATAAAAAATTTAATGACATTAAAAGAATGTAATAGAATGCCAGGTACGTTTGATCCAATTCCTGAAGATAGTATATAAATTATGTTGATCGTTATTTTAAAATTTCATTCTTGCAGCTTTTGTTTTTGATTGGTCTTTCTTTTAACAGAAATAATTCTTCACTATTGACAGATTCCTGCTTTGGCAGCCATATTGGCAGCTTTCGTCTTTGCATTGTTTTTCATCTTCGTCATCTCTGTCGGCAGTATGTCAGCGTTTGACTTCTCTGTCAAGGTTGGATAAAGTTGATCAAGTACATATTGGAATCCCCGATTTGATTTGGTAATGTTAGCCTTGTATCTCTCAAGACCAAATGCCCGCAGAGCTCTAGACACGCCAAAGAGGTTGGAGTTGATCCACGCATGCTTTTCAACGACCGTCCAATCTTTATTTTCTGGCGACGTTTTATAAATACACTTTTCTTCCACAACCTATGATAAATATAAGATCAACTTTATCAATGTGAATACAACCCATAGGGTAGTGTTAAAAATTTCACTTACGGTTCAGGAAACATACATATATACATAATTATAAACAAACATATCTGCAAACACAACACAAATACACATAATATACATAATTTTGATAGTAATGTACAATACATACTCCAAGTATCGAAATGCATGCCATCGTGTCGGGATTCAATATTCAACATTAATTATGTCACCATCAGGAATGTATAATATCATTCTATCAATGAAAGATTTCTTACTTCTTTTTACATTGGCAAAGGGGCATAATGCTCCTTTTTACCCAGTTTCTAAATATTCAACAATCCGTATCTTCTTAGCTATTCCCGATTAATTCTTCAAATGCTGCTTTAGAGTCTTAGAAAATTAAGTGTTACAATATACTAAACAATTTTTTCGCTCCTGGGCTAGGCTTTAAGTTTGCGAGGAGGACAAAGTCCTTGATTTTAGACAGTGATTTGCAGATATGAAAAAATTGACCACCCTGGTACCTACCATAAATTTAGTGTATCCAATGTTCCTTGTATATGAAGTAAATATCTTGTTGACAGGATCAACAATTGTTTCCTCTACAACATATACATATCTTGCATTGCTGCCAAACACATAATTTCCCCATCTTGGCATGCGATTAGTTTTTGATAAAATTCGTGTAGAGATCAATTTATTATCCTCAATTCTCCTAGAAGTCGTATCTTCAGAGAGAACATGTTTGCTAAAGGAAATATAGAAAAAAAGAATATTCATAAAAAACTACATCAGGACTTTATTCCAATTGAAATGGAGCTGCTGTAAGATTTTCATTATAATCAAAGGACAATACAGTTGTCTCTAATTGAACCTTGGATTTGGAAGGCAAGCATCTTAACTACAAGCTACAGTAAGGTTTTATTACAAATCCTAACTTGGATCATAGAGTTGAGCGGTTGGCTATCACTTGTCTCCTCGAATAACCTTCATATTGGAAGTTATACCCCATTCAGACAAGTTTCGCATTACGATCGGTTGTAGCAATTGCGACACTTAATCGCAAACTAAAATCGTGTCTGAAAGCTCACTAATAGTAGTCAATAAGCAATCGATTTCGCAATTGTTACCCGTTGCGATTGGGAGCTACAATCTTTATTACTCCCATTACCATGGAATCCGATCACAACAGATTCCACAGGCACTGATTGGCTGAGGTCAAACAAAACAGGACGACTTATATCGTTGCTAGTGATGTAAAGTATCAAAGTAAATATTCAACAATCCGTATCTTCTTAGCTATTCCCGATTAATTCTTCAAATGCTGCTTTAGAGTCTTAGAAAATTAAGTGTTACAATATACTAAACAATTTTTTCGCTCCTGGGCTAGGCTTTAAGTTTGCGAGGAGGACAAAGTCCTTGATTTTAGACAGTGATTTGCAGATATGAAAAAATTGACCACCCTGGTACCTACCATAAATTTAGTGTATCCAATGTTCCTTGTATATGAAGTAAATATCTTGTTGACAGGATCAACAATTGTTTCCTCTACAACATATACATATCTTGCATTGCTGCCAAACACATAATTTCCCCATCTTGGCATGCGATTAGTTTTTGATAAAATTCGTGTAGAGATCAATTTATTATCCTCAATTCTCCTAGACGTCGTATCTTCAGAGAGAACATGTTTGCTAAAGGAAATATAGAAAAAAAGAATATTCATAAAAAACTACATCAGGACTTTATTCCAATTGAAATGGGAGCTGAAGTAAGATTTTCATTATAATCAAAGGACAATACAGTTGTCTCTAATTGAACCTTGGATTTGGAAGGCAAGCATCTTAACTACAAGCTACAATAAGGTTTCATTACAAATCCTAACTTGGATCATAGAGTTGAGCGGTTGGCTATCACTTGCCTCCTCGAATAACCTTCATATTGGAAGTTATACCCCATTCAGACTAGTTTCGCATTGCGATCGGTTGTAGCAATTGCGACACTTAATCGCAAACTAAAATCGTGTCTGAAAGCTCACTAATAGTAGTCGATAAGTAATCGATTTCGCAATTGTTACCTGTTGCGATTGGGTGCTACAATCTTTATTACTCCCGATTACCATGGAATCCGATCACAACGGATTCCACAGGCACTGATTGGCTGAGGTCAAACAAAACAGGACGACCTATATCATTGCTAGTGATGTAAAGTATCAAAGTAAAAAGGTGTCTGAATGCTGTTGAAGTTTGCGAATGGTTGCAAACAATCTGGATTACAACTGTTTACCACAGATTACATCGCAACCGGTCGCAATGCAAAGTCTAGTCTGAATAGGGTATATTAGACAGGTTAAGAACAATGTTTGTATCCGTCTGTGTCCGGTATATGTTGAAGTGGAGTTGCACTGTGGAGGGTGGTCCATCCAGCCGAAGCTGATCATTAGGGAGCCTTAATACACATAGTAAAACAAAAAAAAAGAGAGTATGAAAAAAATCAATACAGTAGTAATATACTGTAAATAAATTTAGATTACAGTAAGTAGCCTTAATGAAAAAAATAAATAAATATCAAATAAATAAAAATATATAGATAAGGAAAAAGAAAAAAATAAAAGTGAACATAAATTATAAAAGAAAAAAACCAATAATGAATTAAAAGTTAAAAATGCAAATAAATCAAGCAGGATCAAAAAACGATTAAAGTAGGTCAAAGAAACAGTAAAACAACAGAGAAAGAAATAAATAAGGTCAGAATAAACTATCCCTAATCAAATAACATAAATATATAATATAAAAATGAGAAAAAAAAACTATAAACCATAGGCCTATCCTTAATTTACAGAAAATGAATAAATTCAAAATAATATATAAAACTAAAAATATATAATTAGAAAATAGAAATCTAAAATGGATTTACAATGCAAGTTCAAATAACAATTAAAAAGGCCAAATATACAGAGCTACAGAAAATATTACTTCTATTAGTTCTACTGTACATACAAACCTCGACGGATTGGGATATTTTTGCCAAAAAGCTCCCGTCACTTGTTCCCAAGTATTCTTGAAAACTGTTGTTGACAAATAGTACTTCATCCTTCAAGTTTTTAACAAAAGCAAAATGTAACATTTGGCCTTGAATGTACCCAAAGCTGAAATTAGAAAATAAATAATTTTTTAAAATTATATTTCAACAATCTTTAATGAGGGTGGTCCATCCAGCCGAAGCTGATCATTAGGGATCCTCAATACACATAGTAAGACAAAACAAAAGAGCATATTAAACTAATTAAATTACAGTAAAATAAATAACAACCTCTCAATACAAAATTTACATAAAGAATTAATTCAAAATTAAATAAAAAACTTAA